ATGATGTTTGATTTTAACGAGTCCAAGTCTAAATTCAAGTTCAAATTGATGAGCTTTTAATAAATCATTGCAATTATGTATATAAATTCTAAAATAAATCAACATTTTAATAGGAGAAAGGAAGATTATAATTTTTTATAATAATCGATAATAATATTAATCAGAGGCTAGATTTAAAAATGTCCTTAAAATTTAAATATGACGTGTTAGGTATTATCACAAAAATAATTTTTAGTAATTAAATGAATTAATTAAAAATTATTTCAATGTAAAATAATAGTAAAATATCACAATTTTAATCATTTAAGAATATAAAAAGTTAAAAAAAGTGTCGTAAAAATGATATTTAAAAATTTCAATTATTACTGCTTTTTACTCCCCGCTCTCTATCACCAAATAAAAGTCCCCAAAAGTTATTTTTGGTCATGGAGTCAAATGCGTTCAAAATGTGCGCTGGCCTTTTCTGAGGTCAGACGCCAAACAAACAGATCAACCGCTTGCTATGAACTTTGGAGAGATCTGGGTGACGATTGTTATCTTCAATTTTTTTTTCTGAATTCACGCGCTGCTAGGGTGCGAACGTCTCATCTTTTTCTCTCCTGGATGCTGTCGTCTCATAAATTAGCCCATCTCGGTGAATGAAGCGCGGGTCTGTTGGCGCAACAACAGAGCGAAATAAAAGGACCCAGCTGCTCCTCCCTTATAAGTGCACAGATATTTAGCCTTTTATCCGAAACTCAATTGCACCTTGGTATTGAAAAAGAAATGAGAATAAATAAACGCGAGAATCAGAGAGCCGGTGTGCGGTTTTAGAGCAACCCAGAGAGGGGCTCTTTGTGCTGCATCAGCTACTGTGTGAGCAGCGCAGATTTATATTCGTGGTCGTTGACAATCGCTGGCATAGGAAGATGGTTCAATCTATACAATATCAAATTGCACAAAAGTCCTTCTCTTATTAAAAAAGAATAGCATCGGTTATGCAGATCTCACTTTTACACGAAATATTCTCCACTTTTTTTGATGAATGAAATAATTTTTAGAATAATATTCTATACCTCCTTCAATTCAAAATGAATATTATGCTTTTTCGCGAGAGAAATAAAAATTTTGTGCAAGAAGAAACTAATATATATTTCAAGATACAAAATAATTTGACTTTATGAATTTCCAGTTACTATAGTGCTTAGAATTTTACTACAAGTTTTTTACCGTGGAATTGACTTGCAATTGTGTCACGTCCATGTCTCGCTTCTAAAGGGCTTTCCTGATGATCAAAAAGACGATTTGTCGCTGATATCAATGGTGTTAATTAAGAATTTAAAATATTTTAATATAACGTTTGTGAAAATAAAAAAAGTGAACTGAAATTCTCATAAAAACATCTTACAAGAAATTTTATTAAAAATTACGCTGTTGAGCATGCCTTTCTTTATTTATTTCTGTGTTGTTTAAGTATTGAATAGAATTCTGTACTAACGCTGAAGCTAAATTAAAAAAAAATCAAAGGCTATTTTCATGCACTCCACTGATTTCAGTAAATATTATTTTTCGGTACTTTTAAATAATATTATGCATTAAATTACATCTTGTCGTCCCTGTTCTTTCAAACCTGAAATCTGTTAAATTGGTTTATTCAATTTTCTATTTATAACTAAATTATTATAATTATTTCTTTAAAATGTCGCGCCAGTTTAGCAATTTTTATGCATGGTGTCATTAACGATTATAATTTTATTTGCACGTTTTAAAAAACCTTTCCGTCACTTGTGGTCAATGTGTGCTTGACAAGAAAAAATTATTTTTCTAAACATAAATAATAGTGATTGACTGATGCTGCTCAATCTCTCTACAATATGTTCCAAAATTATTTGTTTGGCCCAATTCTTTTTTGCTTTCCTGGGCTATTAACTATTCAAAATTTTTGACGTCAAAGGATGTCACAGGCAAAATCAAAACATCCTGTTTTTCCAAACAATCAGAGCGAAACAAGCTAATGGTGAAAATGAACCACGAGCATTTAGAAAGAGATAATCGCTAAAGAAGATTGAAATGCCGCTCTGGTCAAACGTTTTCGTGTGTTTAATTTTCTTTTTAGTCTTGGTTCAAGCAAGTGAAGCAAAGCGAGTGAGTAAATTACTATATCTTGCAAAAATTCGTTAATAATTTATTGATGGTTAGAGAGTTTTTTCACCAAGGAAAGAACATAAAGGTAACAGGATGATTGTGTGAAACATATAGCATTTTTATCAAAAAGCTTATTTAGCGACAAAAACTGCAAACAAACGAAATACAATAATCAAGTGCTGTGGCGCATTAAATTGTCTTCGTTTACATACAAACTCCACTAGATATCGCTCGTCACAATCCATACTATCATCCATACTGGTATGTATATCATCCGCTGTCATATAACATTTAAAAATATAAAAAAAATCATGTAGAAAACAACAAAAATTGCCGAATTGGGAATTACAAACACATATTCAACTACACAACCAAGCACCACATCACAGTTTGATGCCCACGAAATCAGTAGTGCGGATTTAAGTGATTCATCAACGTTTAACGATGCCAGCACAAATTCAAATGATCAATCCTCAATGGAAGTAAATATTCAAAATGATTTTACAATTTTCGTGACAAATCAAAATTTTAAATAATGAAGATGGTTCCTACGAATCCATCCGCTTCTGAATTTATTTCGTCGGTAATGTTGGTGTCGAATGAGGAAAAAATTATATTTGCGTCGACTTTGCCAATGGAAACCATTCAAACAACAATCGCAGACACAGGAATGATCAGTATCGCTGCATCTACAGCTTCCACAAGCGAAACAACGCAAAATGACATTTTTCAAACAACTGTTCTTCCTGTTTTAACAACTTCAACCTCTGCCTCGCCAATAGCATCAGAAACTTTTGCCCCAACTTCGATCACAAAAACAAGTTCAACCACAACCATCAATGTACGACCTGCGTTCTATTTACACTTCCTAATTTCCATTTTTCAAATTCGTCATTATTTAGCCTGCTCTGGTTGGAAAATGTTCACCAGACACAAACGCCGCCGTCAACGTATGTTCTCATTTCCTTATACAAAACATTATTTTTCATGTTTCAAAAAATTTCATCCATAACAGCGATCGTTATTTGCAGCCAACGGAGCGCTTGCTAGTATTAAAACTTATTATGAAAGTGTTAATGAAAATTTTATAATTTGATTTAATAAAACAGATCCGGACCAGCACGGGTTCTGGCTCAACGCTTGCGGCCAAACTCTTTTGCTTGGAAAATCTCTGGTCTCCTGAAATTTCAATTCTTTTTTTTTTAATAACATGAACGGTTGATTTAGGGAACTTGGCAGCAAAACTCGGCCAAGTGCTTCAGCCTGAACATGCAGCCGTTCGCCCTCGAGAGCAAAGAAAAGCTTGAGTGCATGAAACTCCAAGGTTGAATCGAAACCTAGATTTTTAATAAAATTATTCACACTTTCACAAAAGCTTTGAGCTGGAAGTTTAATTTGAACTACTGGACGGGAGGAACAAAAAACCTTGCGAGCGGCGCCTTCAGTTGGTGCTCTGCAAAAGACCTCACGCCCTGGCAGGACGTTCTACCCCTGAGCAGCCTGGCGAAGGACCAGAACTGCGTCCAGATGCTAATTTCCAAACTCAGTGGTTCTATTTCAATCAGTGGCAGACGTTGCTCAGATTCAATGGTTTTTGCCTGCCAGGTTTATTTTTTATAATACTTTTTGAATATATGTTGAAAAACAAACGAAATCAGGGTCCAACGACGAAAGGCCCCAAGTGCACCAGACCTATTTGTCCAAATATCACCTGCCAGAGAGATGTAAAATGCCTTTCCTAGTTAAAATTGCGTTATAATTATCCTCAAAAATTTTCAGCCCAAGCTTTTTACAGTGTCGGCAAATAGTACATCAATGGTTTTAAAAAGTATATTCACAATCTAGAATTCCTCTTCTTATTTGGGCTTTTTGCTTGTCCGTTTAAATTATTCATGTCGAAACTTTGAGTTTGCCATTAACTAAACGCTCTTGAACTAATAATATTGCTTATATTTCACGAATTGAAAGGGAAAATTTGGCTGATTATTCTGTAAGAAATTTTATTCACATTTTATTGAGTCTTAAAAAGATAATGATTCTTCACAAAAGCTTTTATTATCAAAGGAAAAATTATAATTTAATATACAAATACACTAATTTTATATGCTTTTCTCTTTTGCGATTTGAAAAAGAATTTTACTATAAATTTTATCTATCAAAACTACCTAAAAAGTCAATCTTCTTTTATTTTAGAAGTACGATCATTTTAAATAAAATATAATGTATGAATATAATTGTTTTCAAAAATTGAATGTAAACAATGTATTTGTCACAATCTGGACAAATAAACAATAATAATAATATCAAAGACAAACAGATCTAACAGGTAGAACTGCAAAATGTTTAATATGTTTTGATTGTGGCAAATTTCAGTGATTCAGTGATTTGCTTGCTTGCATTAATAAGCACTAATAACTTGCGTCTATTTGTGATTCATTGAATTTCAGACATTTCTCTGCACGGCCGATTATATACCAAAAGCCTGCGTTTCTATTTAATCAGTTACCAAAACGATACCAGAACTGTAAATTAATTTTTCTTTAAAATGAAATTAATTTTAATTTATGCTGCAGTATGTGGAAGCTATGAAAGCCTGTTGTGATGTGGGCATGTCTCTTTTGAGCTTAGACGGGCAATACAAGTACAACGCTTTGGCCAACATCAGCAGCGTCGCAGATTTTCTAAAAGGCAAGCGCGTAAATCCGATTTTAAATTCATTTTCATCAAATGATGGATCCAGAACCAGAAAATCTTACCTTCTGGACTTCCGGTTCAGACGAGGGTTGTGAGTCGATTTTTGGATACTGTTCAGCTGAACGTTTGTTCCGTGACGAGGCGAAGTGGCTGCCCGGACAGCCGGACAACGCAGGGGGGAATGAGAACTTCGTGGCCGTCAACATTTATCGCAACAAAAGTCAGGTTTTACTTGCTGATTACGACGGACAGACCAAATTCAGATACATTTGCGAGGTTTACTTAGTCATTAATATTTTTTTTCTGAATTAAGACGATTTAACATCATTTCTTAGAAAAGAGGCAATCCTCAGTCTAAGAATGACAAGCAAGCGATAATCGACGAATGTTCCATCATTTACGGCGTCACGCAATGTAATATTCAAATAAATGCTTTATTTAATTTTATTTACATTATAAATTTAGCCCAAATTGACTTGCTGTATAATCAGACGACATTGAGTTTAAAAATGAAAGTGGGTATTCATTTGCAATATTGTAATCATAAGAAATAATGAAATAAATCAAAATCTGCAGTGTTTTGTACGTTGTGTTGGAGACTCTGTGGGGCTGGTACAGGAAAAAATTTAGTAAAGAAAATCTATAAACTCACATTTGAGCTTTAAAGCTGGTTGGCGGTAAATTCGTGGCAAGTGCAGTTTTCGCTATGCTTGAGCTCATTGCTATGCAGAACTCTGATGTGCTAATGAACAGCATGAACATTGTGGATGGTTGCAGCAATAATACTTGTAAAAATTTTGTAATAAAATACACCAAAATTAATGAAATTTCAAAAGCTGGAATGGATGAGTGCGACCAGGCGTATCAGACAGCCAAATGTGCCAGAGACAAGGAGCCAGCGATTTTTGACAATATTGTCACAAACATGAACAACCAAACAACATACGTGATCAATCGAAATGGATGTTTTTGTTTCTGTGTTTAAATGATTTGTTTTGCAGGCTGATGAATTAGTTTCTGCAGCTTCCAAATGCGCAAATTCAACTTGTTCCGTCAACGTATGAATTTCATAAATATTCAATAACCACTTATTTCACTTTTGAAACTAGCAAGCTGCGAGGAAGAATTTAACCTCATTAACTATGAGTATCTGATTAATTTGAATGAAAATCAGTTTAAGTTTACTTTTCGAACACTTTTAGATGTTTCAACATGCATTGACTATGTCAACGGATCTTGGGTCTGCAAATGCAGCGATTCAAAGATGATTTTCATAAATTTTCGAGCTGTAAAAATATTAAGCTTGAATTAATTCACTAAATGGTTAATCTTTATGACAGTCATATTACACTTACCCAGAAGCAGTAAGTATTTGCTGTGGGTTGGGAATGCGATTGGTGTCCCCTTGGAATTACGTTCGAGCATCAGATTGTGCCAAAGCGGTTTGTAGGTTTCTGAATCAATTTGTAATCAAAACTCTAATAAAATTCCTCTGAAGCTGCGTTGACGACAACAGGTTTCACAAACCGATACCTGTCAATGACAAATGGTGTTGTGATCGATGTGACGAGTGGGCTCAGCTACGATTGCCAAAACCAAACAAATTTTTTCCCACAAAAGCTTCAACCAAGTCTCAAAGTAACGTATAATCCAAACGGAGTCTTTGCGGTAGGACGCTGTACACCACTTCTGGCCTTACCAGTAGTGGTGTGACTCCGGAATTTAATGTCATAAGATTGATCGACACGAACCCTTTCATTTGTGTGGATTTTTAAATGCGTGCGCCTGGATTTCAATAAATCATTAAAAAAGTGACAATTCATTCACTTGTTTTAATTAAATAAAATTAGTTTTGATCCGCAGATTCATTATCGATATTTCATCCATAATAATTTTGAGCTTACTATAATTACTTGAAAAATACTATCTGCATGCAATATTAGATGGTCCACTCATCCTGTATTCAAGATGATCAGGGCAATGTCGTCTGTCAAGTCTTCGGCACTGTGGTTGTAGCCAAGGGCGAACGAAAATCTCAGAAGCCTTTTTTTATAAATGATTTTATAATAACTTTATAAATTATTTATTTATTCTCCATTTGATACAGTCATGAGTCATGGATACAGCAAAAAAAAACTATACAGAAAAAGTACAGAAAAAGCTGAAAATACATTTTCAAATAAGTGTACCATAAAAATTACCATTGCTCTTTGTTGTATTATTCAATCAAACAGAACGTAGAACGATCAGAAAGATTAATGCTTATTTCAAATTTTCGATAAATACACCTGCAAAGCTAAATAAAAATAAAATTAGATATTTCTGGGTCTAGCTTTTTCTGATGAAAATCTAGGGTTGAAAATTGCGCTATATTTGTTTTATCTCCACATAAAATCACATAGAATTTTCACTTACTCTTGTGCAAAATTAAAAAAAAAAATCGCTTAACTATTCTAATGCATGCCACACATTTTAGCGTGACCTTGTTCCAATTTTTGTGGTTAAATAATTTATATTAAATGTCATTTTTTTTTGTACTTTTCAATTGCCTAATTATTTTCGCTAGAATGCCGGTTTTAAATGACCCACTTCATGCAATTCTTGGATGGTGCCAGCGCCGATCGTAATTTCGTTTGCTCGTTTCAAACATTTCCGTCCCTTGTGGGCAAAGTGTGCGTGACGAAAGAAAATTATGTGCTAAAACTCCAAAACTATACTGCTAAATAGTACACTGAAAATCCTTAGTGCCGTCGCAGCACTAAATAGTCCCATCGCAGCACTAGTTAGTCCCGTCGCAGCACTATTAATGCAGTCACGGAACTAACTAGTGTTGCGACGGGACTAAGGATTTTCAGTGTAATTGACTGCTGCTGTTCAATCTCTCTACTATTCCAAAATTAATTGTTTGCCCGTATTCTGTTTGTCTATCTTGCTGGTATTTTTCTACTCCAACTTTTTGACGTCAAAGGATGTCAGAAGCCGAACAACACTTCCTGTTTTGCCAAACAGTCAGGTCAAAACTATAGCTAAAATGAAAATGAACCGCATGCAATTAGAAAGAGAGAATCGCTATTGAAGATTGAAATGCCGCTCTGGTCAAACGTTTTCATGTGTTCAATTTTCTTTGTAGCCTTGGTTCAAGCAAGTGAAGCAAAGCGAGTGAGTAAATTAATATTTCTTGTAAAAATTTGTTCATAGTTTATTGGTTAGGGAGTTGTTTCAGAGAGGAAAGAACTCAAAGGTAATCGGATGATTGTATGAAAACATATAGCATTTTATCAATAAGCTTTAGCGACAAAAACTGCAAACAAACGAAATACAATAATCAAGTGCTGTGGCGCTTTAAATTGTCTTAAATTCAAAACAAATTCCACCAAATATCGCTCATCACCATCCATACTATCCATACTGGTATGTATATCATCCCTTGTCATAATATCAAAATATAGACAAAAAATTTAATCACATAGCAAACAACAAATATTGCCGCATTGGGAATTACAAACACACATTCAACTACACAACCAGCAAGCACCAAATCACAGTTTGATGCCCACAAAATCAGTAATGCGGATTTAAGTGATTCATCAACATTTAACGATGCCAGCACAAATTCAAATGATCAATCCTCAATCGAAGTAAATATTCAAAATTTCTTTACAATTTTCTGGACAAATTAAGTTTTTAAATAATGCAGATGGTTCCTACAAATACATCCGCTTCTGAATTAATTTCGTCGGTAATGTTAGTGTCGAATGAGGAAAAAATAATATCCGCGTCGACTTTGCCAATGGAAACCATTCAATCAACAATCGCAGACACAGGAATTATCAGCATCGTATCAACAGATTCCACAAGCAAAACAACGCAAAATGACATTTTTCAAACAACTATTCTTCCTGTTATATCAACTTCAACCTTTTTATCATCAGCATCAAAAACTTTAGCCCCAACTTCGATCACAAAAACAAGTCCAACCACAACCATCAACGTACGACCCGCGTTCAAATTACACTTTCTGATATAATTTTTCAAATTCGTAATAATGATGTAGCCAGCTCTGGTTGGGAAATGTTCACCGGACACAAACGCCGCCGTCAACGTATGCTCTCATTTCCCCATACAAAACATAATTTTTCATGTTTCATAAAATTTCATCCATAACAGCGATCCTTATTTGCACCCAACGGTGCGCTTGCAAGTATTAAAACTTGTTATGAAAGTGTTAATGAAACTTTTATAATGTGAATTAATAAAACAGACCCGAACCAGCACGGGTTCTGGCTGAACGCTTGCGGCCAAACTCTTTTGCTTGGAAAATCTCTGGTCTCCTGAAATTTCAATTCTTTTTTTTTAATAACATGAACGGTTGATTAAGGGAACTTGGCAGCAAAACTCGGCCAAGTGCTTCAGCCTGAACATGCAGCCGTTCGCCCTCGAGAGCAAAGAAAAGCTTGAGTGCATGAAACTCCAAGGTTGAATCGAAACCTAGATTTTTAATTAAAATTATTCACTCTTTCACAAAAGCTTTGAGCTGGAAGTTCAATTTGAACTACTGGACGGGAGGAACAAAAAACCTTGCGAGCGGCGCCTTCGGTTGGTGCTCTGCAAAAGACCTCACGCCCTGGCAGGACGTTCTACCCCTGAGCAACCTGGCGAAGGACCAAAACTGCGTCCAGATGCAAATTTCCAAACTCAATGGTTCTATTTCAATCAGTGGCAGTCGGTGCTCAGATTCAATGGTTTTTGCCTGCCAGGTTTATTATTTTTACAGAATAATTATTTACAATGAATATTAAAAAAAGAATTTAGGGTCCACCGACAATAGGTCCCAAGTGCTTCAAGCCTCTTTGTCCGAATATTACCTGCCAAAAAGATGTATAAAAACTATATAATTTCAAAGTGCCTAAAATATCCTAGAAATTTGCAGCCAAAATTTTTTACAACGCCGACAAATGGTACATCAATGATTTTAAAAAGTAGGTTGACGACAGAGAATTCTTTTATTACGCTCGTCCATTGAACTGTTTCAAATGATTAACTTTGAGTTTGCAATAAACTTAAACGAATATTTTCTTATATTTCACTAAAGAAGTCTTAATGAAATTTGCAAAAATAATAGCTAAATATTGTTTAGGTTGCATTGATTTAAAAAAAGACCATTATTTATCACGCAAGCTTATAAATTCATTACTGTTATATAGAGCTGTCCATTTTGTCCCATCAAGAGAAGTATTAAAATTTAATTCTACACCAATTTTTTACTCACGGCTAGCGATTGTCCTCTGCATTTCCTTGCAATTTAATGAAATTATTATTAATTTCTCGATTTTCAAATAACCTAATGAAGAACCTAATGAAGTTATAAATCTCCTTTCATTTAAAAAGTACGAGCATTTCAAATATATATGTTTAGATATCAAAGTAATGCTGTGTTGACAGTACAAAATGAATAATTTGTAATTTTTGGCTGTGGAAAATTTTGTATAATCACTTTTGCATCAATTATAATCTAACTATTCACTTGTGTCAATTTGTGAACTGAATTTCAGACATTTCTCTACACGGGCGACTTTATACCAACAATCTGCGGTTCTATTTAATCAGTTACCAAAACGACACGAGAACTGTAAATTAAATTTGCTTCAAAGTGAAATTAATTTTATAATTTATGCTGCAGTATGTGGAAGCTATGAAAGCCTGTTGTGATGTGGGAATGTCTCTATTGAGCTTAGATGGGCAATACAAGTACAACGCTTTGGCCAACATCAGCAGCGTCGCAGATTTTCTAAAAGGCAAGCGCGTTAATCCAATTTTAGTTTCAATCATTCTAATGATGAATTCAGAACCAGAAAATCTTACCTTCTGGACTTCCGGTTCAGACGAGGGTTGTGAGTCGATTTTTGGATACTGTTCTGCTGAACGTTTGTTCCGTGACGAGGCCAAGTGGCTGCCCGGACAGCCGGACAACGCAGGGGGGAATGAGAACTTTGTGGCCGTCAACATTTATCGCAACAAAAGTCAGGTTTTACTTGCTGATTACGACGGACAGACCAAATTCAGATACATTTGCGAGGTTTACTTAGTCATTAATATTTTTTTTCTGAATTAAGACGATTTAACATCATTTCTTAGAAAAGAGGCAATCCTCAGTCTAAGAATGACAAGCAAGCGATAATCGACGAATGTTCCATCATTTACGGCGTCACGCAATGTAATATTCAAATAAATGCTTTATTTAATTTTATTTACATTATAAATTTAGCCCAAATTGACTTGCTGTATAATCAAACGACATTGAGTTTGCAAATGAAAGTAGGTATACTGAATTTTATTCATTACAAATTTATTAAATAAATATAATCTGCAGTGTTTTGTGCGTTGTGTTGGCGACTCTGTAGGGCTGGTACATGAGACAAATTAATATACAGAATATTTGAAGGTTGAATTTTAAACTTAAAAGCTGGTTGGAGGTAAATTTGTGGCAAGCGCAGTTTTCGCAATGCTCGAGCTCATGGCCATGCAGAACACTGACGCGCTAATGAACAGCACGGCCATTGTGGATGGTTGCAACAGCAATGCTTGTAGGATAACTAAAATTTAGAGCACCAATTAATTATTTTCAAAAAAAAATTGTATAAATAAATAAATAAAAAAGCTGGAATGGATGAGTGCGATCAGGCGTATCAGACGGCGAAATGCGCGAGGGACAAAGCGCCAGCGATTTTTGACAACATCGTCACAAACATGAACAATCAGACGACAGACGTGATCAATCAAATTGGACATAATATTTACATTTTTTAAATAATTTATTTTATAGACTAATCAACTAGTTTCGGCAGCTTCCAGATGTGCAAATTCTACATGTACCATCGACGTATGAAATTTGAAAATTTTCAATAACCATATTTGACTAATTTCAAATTTTGAATCTAGGTAGCTGCGAGGAACAATTTAACCTCATTATCTATGAGTACCCGATTAATTTGAACAAAATTCAATTTAAGTTTATTTTTTGAACACTTTTAGATGTGTCAACATGCATTGACTATGTCAACGGATCTTGGGTCTGCAAATGCAATGATTCAAAACTTATTTTAATACAGTTTCGAAATGTAAATGTGAAGCATTTAATGAAATTTGTAAGACGAAATTAATATTTTTATGACAGCCGTCTCCTTACTCAGATGCAGTGGGTACTTGCTGCGGGTTAGGAATGCGATTAGTGTCACCGTGGAATTATGTCAGAGCTACAAATTGTGCCAAAGCGGTTTGTACGTTTTCGAATCGATTTGTTATCAAATCTCTTATAATGAAAATTTCTTTGAAGCTGCGTTGGCGATTACAACTTTTACAACCAAATACTGGTCAATGACAAATGGTGTTGTGATCGACCTGACAAGTGGGCTCAGCTACGATTGCCAAAACCAAACTAATTTTTTCCCTCAAAAACTCATCCCAAGTTTCACAATAATATATAATAGAAATGGAGCCTTCGATATTGGTTCGCTGGTCACGTATACTTCTCTTAACAATGCTAGTGGGGCGCCGGAATTTAATTTGGGTAGATCATCTGACCCGTTCACTTTCATTTGCGTGGATTTTTGAATGTCGCATGAAATAAAATTAAAAAAAAGAACGCGTTGAAAAATGACACTTTTAATTAAATTAGTCGAGTTTTAGTTTGCATATTTATTCAAGATCCTTCATGATTTTCTGCTTAAAATTTTGGTTTACGTGAATAATGAATACTATTAGGTTTTTGAAGTAAATTTTTTTTTTAATCGATTGTTTTCTATAATGTTGACTATGCGGTGATGCCGGGCGAGTTGTGCACAATCCACTGCATGCAATTCGTGATGTCGGTGAAGAGAGCGTTGTAATTTGGGTAGCACGTTTCAACCGTGTTGCCGTCACTCGAGGTCACCGTCCGGGTGCGACCCATGCTGACGACCCCTCGCAAAAAGTGGCGGTTTTGTGAAGGGTCGTAAATGACAAACCCACCACCACTGTCTCCCTTGCACACCCCTGTCTCTACACAAGTAAGAGATTTTCTCAATAAAATAAAATTACCGAACTTTGATGCTTACGATTGGAAGTGCGACTGACGCAGAAGTTTTCTCCGGGGCGCAGGTTGAGCGAAAAAAAGAGCCTTTTGCTCATATAGCACTCCTCATAAGAGACCACTCGCAAATCAGCCTGTTGCAGAATGGAAGCCTGCACGTTCTCGGCGGTCAAACCCCAACCAACCACCTGAAAGAATTAATTTCATTAGACATTCCTTGTAAAAAAAATCATCAAAACGCACTTGTCCTGTTTTGTTGACGATTGCACCAAGTTGGTAAAGGTCGTTCCACAGACAAATAGGTTGCACGTGGTCAGTAAATCGGATCTGGTTATTTTGCGCCAAGACGATCAGGGCAATGTCGTCTTTCAAGTCTTCTGCGCTGTGATTGTAGCCAGGGTGAATAAAAATCTCAGAAGCCTTTTTTTAATTTTTTGTTTTTTATAGTTTATAAATTAAAGTGTACTATAAAAATTACCATTGCTCTTTGTCTTGACGCTTCGTAGTATTTTGACGCGTCGTGCATTCCAAAAGTCACTTCTAAATTCCTCGCTGGCCATAAATTTCCGTTGTGAAACAAACAGTGCGCCGCTTCAAAAATGTGGAAATAATAATTTAAATAAATTGACGTTATAATTTCTAGTTTTACCTGTAATAAGGGTCCTTTTAGAAATGAGGGTTGCTCCGCAGAAGTCGAACTGCAAAGGCCCCGATTCGGAATGACGGGTTAGACTTGCATGCCAAGGATTTAAGCCTTGCACTGCTTCAGTGCCATTTCGGTGATGTGTGTATTTTCCCGAAAGACCGACTTTCACTTTGCCACAGTTGGGAAAACTCTGATTCTTTCCAAAATCTCAACATGTATAATTGCAATTAGGAAATTTTTATTCTTATCCTCTTTTTTAATAAATGTTTGTCCTTTTCTTACTTACCGATTTTGTTCTTTGGCTCGTGTATTGGCGGCATGACAGCCAGGTCGGGAGTCTCCGAGACTATTTGGGCAATGTGCGGGAGTAAATCAAGCCACTCAGACTTTTGATTGCCTTCGTTCAATTTCATTCCCCGCAGAAAGAAACGGTTATATTTCTTGATAAATAGAAAGTCGTCCTTTGAACCTGCAAGGAAACAAAAGTTTTTTTTCCTTGTAAACGTTTTCTATTAATACTTTGCCCATTTGTCTGCGTGCAAATCGAGTGCCCCAAAAGATCGCACTTCCTTTTTGAAATTGCATTGGTGAAGCAACTATCTTCAACAAGAAAATCTGTTACTTTTACTTTACCCTATCAAAATTAAAAATATTATAATTTTTAATTCAATAATCCGCAGAATTAATTACCTGATGAAAATCGTAGATGAAAAAATTCTCCAAAGAGTCATTTTTGTTGTTTCTGTTCCACAAACAGACAGGTTTCAAGCTGCCTGTCAGAGTAAGATTTTGAACCTCTAAAATATTGACAATGTTGGAGAAAAATCTGCCGATTTGAATTTCCACCTTCTTGAGACTTAACACCTTAAAAATAAGGACGTTTTAAAATTAAATGACAAATAATTAATCATGATTTCACTTTTTGACTAATACGGTGTCGCCCTTTAAAGCATCGTCCTCCTTCATCATTTACACAATTGCCGCCAAATATATTTATTTCACGCATGTCTACTTTATCCATGTGGCAAATATCTGCATTGAAAGTGTTAAAAATATTTCTCTCTTTATGTGTAAATTGAGACCATTAGTGATGATTGTTTGCTGTGATAAGAGCACGCCGCGACAATACTTGTCAATATCTTTATCTATCACGATATTTATGATCCAAGGAGGAATATTTACGCCATGGCTCCACAGACCACAATCATCGAAACTAAGATTTTCCTCGTTGACATAGAAAACTGTAAATACAAAATGTTCAATTAATTTTAAATGCTGTTTTATTCTTAAATTTTTGGTTATCGTGTACCTGGAGTGGAGATATTTTCTTTGTTTCTTCCATTATTCCAGCAGTCGGCCAAATTAATTACCTATAATAAAAAATTTAATGAAGGTGAAGGTACGAGAGACGCAAAATTTGATAAGAGCGCTTGTTATTTAAATTAAATTTGGGAAGAAAAATCACATTATTTGGTACATTTTTGAAAAATTGAAATCATGATTTGAAGTAAAAGTTATAGTCTCTTTTTATGCATTTAATTTCATCAAATATTAATAAAGCGTGACATCTTTTGATGATTTAATTTTTCAAATTTTTCTTTAATCAAATTTGTTGATTCAGCTTACTTTATATCCGTCAATGTTGTTGAGCCGGACGGGGTCAATGCCGACGCACAGGCAGGTGCAGATAAATAACAACAATTTGCGCTCCATTAATAAGCTCACAGAGTGCTCAAACCAAGCAACCACACAAAATATATTGGAGAGAGAAAAAGGGACTAAATCAGCTGGTTCAATCTGGAGCAACACAATCCTTTATCGCAAACGCGTGTCATTGATAAATTCTAGTGACTTTTAACCCGTACACAAAAATCTTAAATGTCTTTTGTCAGTGAAGAGTGAAATCTTCATTCGATGAGGAAAATTGTGTTATCGGTTGTTTCTCTCGGATCGCTTCTGCTTGAAATTTAAAAATAGGGAAACTTTTTACTAAAATTTTTTTACATCAAAAATTAATTGCGTGCAAGTATTCCAAATGTACCAGCAGACCGTAGGTCGCCTTTTGGGGGTTAGTTGTCATTTATTTTTTCATTTTTTCCTTGAGGTTCACCCAAGTTTCAATTTTTCAATTTAAATATGAAGACTGTTTTACTTTACATGGAAATCGTAGTGAAAATTCAAGGCGAGTTTTTTTAAACCCTGACCCCAGCCAAGATAGAACCTATATAAGGCCTTCAGAATATCAGCCAAGCGCACTAACCACTGTGCCACACAATAGGTCTTTAACGTTTTTGTAAAAAGGTTTTATTTTTAATTTTTCAGTTACATTGAATTATATTTTTTCGCTCAGTGAAATAGGGTTGCAACTGGTAGAGTCGTTTGTTTTTTAAGTAAAAAATATTTCGTAAACAAGGATTTCACGACTCCGTTGATGTCCTAAAATAGTAATTTTATTTTTTATTCCTAACGATTTGATTGAAAAAATTTAAACGAGTATTTTGTCTTCAAGAAGTTGAAATTAACTCAAACGTTGATGTCAGGCGTGAGATCAACGATCCATTGTATGTAGTTTGTGGTGTCAGTGTAGATGGAGTACGCACTCGGATCACAAGTGATCAACTTTTTGTTTTCAGGTAGAGTTACGGTCCTGATGCGTCCGAAACTGACGATGCCACGCAAGAAACGCCTGTCATTTTTCAAAATAATAAACCCACCTCCACTGTCCCCACGACATGCATTTGTCTCTGCATTTAAAATTTGTTCAGGATTTTGCATCAAATAAGAGGTTTCAAACTCACGGTTATGAGGAAAACCCGCACAGAAATTTTGGCCAGGGCGCAAATGAGTGGACATAAAAGACCTTCTGCTTTTGTAGCACTCTTCGTAAGTGGCCACTTTCAAATTTGCCTGCTGCAGAATTTCTGGCTGCGTGTGGTTGGCTGTCAAACCCCAACCAACAACCTAGTTTTGTAAAGGGTTAATCAAAACTTTTAATGTAAAAAATTTAACGTGCAGCTACTTAAAAAAAAAATTCAATATTTATAATTTTTTGTATACTTTTCCAGTAGTATTGGTGATTTTGTTGAGTTGATAGTCATCATTCCAAAGACAAATGGGTCGCACATTGTTATTTATTTGAATCTGATTTTCGGCAACCAAAATCAAAGCTATGTCGTCTATGAATTTCTCGCTGCTTGCATTGTAGCCAGGGTGGACCATCAAATTGGAGGCCTTGAATAAAATTAATAAGATTGCCAATAATTATGATGCCAATATTGAAAATCAAACCATCACGGCCTGTCGCGAATTTTCATTGCTCTTCGAGAATTCAAGCAAGCCAAGCACCACTTCCAATTTTTCCGGCTGCATTAGTTTGTTTTCAATAAATAAACAATGTGCCGCTGTTTGAAAAAATGCATGTATTATGATGAAAAAGAAATCAATATATTCAGGAAACCGGTGATGAGGACTCTTCTGGAAATGAGTGTAGCGCCGCAAAAGTGCTTGACAAAAAAATCCTCATCTAAGCGGAGTGACAAGGTGGCGTGCCATGGGTTTTCTGACGTCTTCTTGACAGGCTCGCCGAAGAGGATGAAACCTGCAACTGCACCAATTTTCTCCCTTTTCCGTCTCTGGGGCACCGATTGGCCGCAGTTGACAAAGCTTTGACCATCACCGAAGTCTGGGAAATTAATTTTATTTTAATTATATACCTACAACAGAAGACTCAAGACTGCAGACCGATTTTGGTTTTTGGCTGAGGTACAGGCCGCATGACCGTCAAGCCAGAGGATGCTTCCACAATTTCCACAGTTTTTGGTAGCAGGTCGATTGCAACGATGTTCGATCCTTGAGTAAGAAAGTTGGCAAACATTCCTCTCAGATAGAAGCGTTCGTTGCTTTTTACCAACAATTGAACCATGTAGGCGAGTCCTATTGTGAAAAGTTCAATCAGACGTTGTATTTTTCTCACTCTCAAATTTCAATTTACTGCTAAACCCTGACAAACAAATCGCCTGTCTGTACAGGCCACACTTCCCAAGGGCCGTTTTATCAGGCAGACACTCTTCCAATGCCAACAACTCCACTCTTTTCAAATTTTCCTTCATGAACATTTAATCAAATAAAATTTTTATCAGCCTGTCAGAATTCTATACTGACCTCAAATAAATTATTAGCGTAGTATATCAGCGACTGGTCATTCTGGTTGTCTCCATTCCACAAGCAGACGGGTCTCAATATGTCAGAAAGTTCCAGCTTTTCAACGGTCCACACGAACAATGGCAAGGAGTATTTTTCAGCAAATAAATTCGTCTCTACTTTCTTCACACTTAAGACCTTTAAACAAATTTGAGAGGTTTGTGGCAGCTAAAAACTATTTTTTTTTCACCTTTCGTTGGAGCAAGGCTTGGTCCCAGAAACACTCGTTTTTATCTTTCTTATTAGCACAAGCCCCTTTGTGAAGTGAAACGATCTCTCCGTCATTCATCTTTTCATAAACAGCGTAAGAATAATCTAACGCAGAACCAATGATAAGTATTTTATAGTTAAAATGAAAGCCATTTTTTGAATTTACCAAATGATATAATTGTTCTATCTGAGACGACCACTCCACGGCAGTAAGCATTAGAGTACATAACCTTCAGAGTGATTGACCATGGAGGAATATTTTTGCCAGCGTCACTCGAATATTTCCATTGGCCGCATCCTTCGAAACTCAAATTATTCTCATCCACCCGGAACACTGACATTACATCATAAATTATTATTAAACATTTTTTTTATTGTTTAATTCATGTGCAATACCAGGAGCAGGGATAACTGCTGGTTTATTGAATTTCCCAGGCGCCCAGCACTTAGAAATATTAACCTCCTTAGGTAATTAATTGAGAAAATGTTTTAATATTATGATTAATTTTAAATTAATTCCAGTTTCTTACCTTCTCTGGATCAAACCGTTGCAGTCGAGCAGAGCAAAAGTAGCTCATCAAAAGAAAGACAAGAGTCCCAACTTCTAAGAAACTCCCTTTCATTATTTAATTTTTGAGCTCCGCAAAAGAATGCAGCAGTAATGTTGTTTAATTTGCCCCTCGCAATAGAAGTTTGTCCAGTAATCGGCTAAGTTGCAAATAATATGGTTTCTGGTTATCAAGGGGTCATGGTGATAAGACGAAGAGTAAACGTGCCTAACTGTTTTTGTTAGCTGTAATTTACATAATGCTAAAATCTTTGGCTCCTCTCTCATGAAATTTTGATCTTTGAAATTATTTACAATTTCAATATGTATAATAGCAAAAATTGAGGTTTTAAGTGGCGGAAAACAGAAAATTTCCAATTTTAACAACATTATTTAGAGGCTACACAATCGCCACCGATAAAAATGGAATTTTCTGCTGTAGTTGTATTTTCTTTATTAATTTGGTATTTAAATCACGTGTGTATCGGCTATAATTGTTTTCTAAATTTTACATATTCAATAAAAATTTGCAATTTTATTACTTGACTTATTTTTATAATTTTATTGTTATATTAAACTGTAAAATTAATTTTAAATATAAGCAAATTAAATCAGAATTACCAATGCTGTATTTCATCTGTGGGAATTGAGGATTTAAGAGACTTTTCATCGCCATGTGGTAAAGAAGAAGTGCAAAGCTGCGTGGTGTGTGTTGCGGGATCGCGTGACACCGCGAGATGAATCTCACGAGAGCCACCGTCGTCGCTCTTAATGAATATTTATTTCGCTCTCTCGCGGCGCGCCAACAACTTTAATCAAATTCATAATTTCCTCTCTCTCTGCCTGGCTGCGACCGAGCACTGAGATATTAAATTATAAATTTTATTCACTCCTCCGTGCAATAAATTTCCCTCGCAGTCCCATATATTCTCCGCATGCATACGTTAATGTTTCAAGTTTTGCTTTTACGGTTCTCCTCGAAAATCAACTCAAAGCTCAAAGTTCTACACAATAATCTCATCCATTTGGAAAGTCAATTTAGACTCAAAATCGAAACTATATTGTTTACAACAAAAATAATGTTTATACAGGATTAAAAAAAAAAAAACGAAATAAATGCTATAAAGGAACAAAAAGACAATTACTATAGCTTTTGAACATTTCACTTCTATGCATATTATAATGTGCAACAATTGTTGGAAACATTGTAACACAATCACTCTAGATATTAATTTTTTTATTTGTATTTGAAAAGTAGACTTTTTCAGACTTGTCTGGCCAAAATTTGATCTACTTTTTACATTTTATCGTGTTTTTTTTTTTTCAAAAGTGGCAATTAGTTATTGATTTTTGTGCTCTAATATTCCTGAATATTTTAATTTTTTATGAAATTTAACTTGCGAAACTTTGATTGAACAAATTCAAATCGTGTAATTCGACTAAGCAAAAAAAGTTTTATTTTAAACTCTAATAATATTTTCACTTCTTCTCGTTATTGACCAAAATACAATTTTCTTTTGTTTTTTAAGTTAATATTTTCTTTTTCAATAACATATGAATACAAATCACCCTACATAATATATATCCTTGTGCCCTATAAAAAAATTTCACTTTGGATAGAAATTTTTTTAAAAACGATATTATAGAATTGTTTGTCAAGGGTCATGGTGTTGTTATGAAAGTGAAGAGGTGGGTCGACGGGTGCACAATGTTGCAGCGTTTGGTGTGTCGGTCTGGAAACGGAGAAGAGCGTCTGATGCGAACCCTGCTGAGGGCACCCTGCCTGCGTCGCTGCCACGCTGATCCGCCGGCCGGTCTGGCACGAGAGCTGCAGCCAGAACGAGTGTAAACAAGAGTGCACCGGCTGAAAAAATATTTTCACGCCCTCGACTAATTGGCCGCCCCGAAACAAAATAACACAAGCTGCGATACCTCTTCTTATCTATGCAAACGCATTTCTAAATTTAGACCTCTCCGCTTACGTTTGAAAACAAATTTTTTGTTCCAAATTTTTGTGATCATTTTTTGTTATTTTTCACCTTAAATTCATTTAAAATTATTGTTGTGTAAAATAAATCAAGTTTTCATGTATTTTTAATTAGGTGATTAACATAATTAAATATACGTTTAAATCTTTTTTAAACTTTCATAGAAATTTTAGAAGAAATGGAAAATTGAGAAAAAGATTAATCATTAAAAATTAAAACAAAACGAGCTCGAAGTTAGGCAACCGGCCCAGTCGGCTGCTCACGCACGTTGCATAACTTGAAAGATTTTATTATAGCTGTGCTGTAAAAGCCTTCTTTAATTCTGAACGTAATCGCTTTTGGTCTCGAGTGGAAAATCTTTTTCCAAGCCGCCTCTTTCTTTGCGTCGCGATGCAAAGCCCTTAAACCCTTTTTATGTGCAGCTTTTATGTCTCCCTTTTTTCTCCTGGTGCGCTGCGACAAAAACGCCTCGCTGGGTTTTTTTCAACAGACACACAAGGAGAATTCCGTGCTAATCTTTCTTTTTTCCGATTCGGCAGCTTTGAAATAATCGCACGCAGGACAAAGGGCGTCGATTTCGGATTTTATGTATTTTCACGTTGGCACGAAAGAGCGAAAGTAAATTATTGCCACAGCACCCTGTTTTCATCCATCGCTGGTTGCCATAGCAATCACGTGCTCTCCCTGCCAATTCAGACATGGCTTTTTTGCTTAAAGCCAGAAATATGAACACTTGCTCCATCCAACCGGAAAATGAAACAAAAATGGCGCAGTTTTGAATAATTCTCAAATAATTGAATTTAAGTTATTATTGTTGTTTATTTGTCCAAATTGTTACATCACATTGTTTACATACAAATTGTTGAAAACATTCATTTTGAAAAAAGAAATTGTTGTGGACAAAACGGCACCACCACTAGCAAGAATTTTGCTAAAACTTCCGAGGCCAAAAAGACCCCATCCGCCGCAGTGAGCATATATTTAAAAAAAAATACTTCTTTTTCATGTCAAAGCTAATTATTTTCTTACATGAGTAAAATATTCTTAATTTTTGTCACAAATTAATTAACCAAATTTTTTTTTAAAGGTTCAGAAGAGACTTACATAATATATTTATATTTTTTTTTAGTTTTTTTTTTACTTTAATATAACTTGTACTGTGTTATTATAAATTTTAATAATCTATTATTGTAAGAGTCTAATTTTAACTCCAATTTTTAAGTAAACAAAACCTTATGTGCTACTTTGAAAACGTTTCCAAACTTTTGGATTTTAGCTTTAAAAAACATTTTTATATAGAATATTGGGCAGAAATAAATTGCCATTTTGAGAAATGCGAGTCTTTGGAACGCAGAAAATCCATATTTCTGCGTGACGGGCGATGAGCGAGGGTGAGCCGCCCGCCTTTGATGTGTCAAACGCACCCTGCCGCTGCGCTGCACCCCCGTCTAATAATAATACGAGCGCAGAATTCAGGCGCCTTCCTCCCACCCTCCCGCAACAAAAGCACTTTCTCCGCATGTACGCTTTCAATTCAAAATTCACGGTTTTAATTATTGATTTTAATAAAATGTTTTTTTTCGTGTTTTTTGAAACAATTATTAAGGCTATAGCTTTATCTTTTGAATATCCTATAACTATATATCTCATTTTTGTTCTTTTAGTGCTACAGGTTGAAAAATTTTAATGATTTTTCCGAATTACAAAGTTTATTTTGTGATTCAAAATCTATTTGAATGGTCATAATTCGAAACTGATGTACATATTATTTAGATTTATTGAATCTTTCATCCTTGATAAGAGATCATATCTTTGTAATTAATGTGCTGAATTGTGTCATTCTGGATCAAATTATTTGAGAATGAAAACAAGTTTTGGTGGATATTTTAAAAACCGAAAGCAATTAATGACTGTTAATATTAATTTTACATCTTTAAAAGCATAATTTAAATTTTTCAATTATCCAAAATATTTAATTAAATTTGAATGCATTCATCCGCATATTAACAATTAAATTGGATCCTCAAAGTTTCTTCTATTTTATCCACTTTTTTTTAATCAAGTCATGTCGTATTACAGAGTTTCATTTTGTTTTTTAGTAGAGAAAGATCGTACAAAATTTTACTAAATTAATCAAATTTTTTATCAGAGATTTTCAGCTGATTTATTTCAAGAGAACTCCTATTTTGATTCTTTTAATTAGAGCAACCCGTATAGAATTATCCCACGAACTCTTATATATGTGGAAAAGCAGCAGGGAGCTCATCTCTCGAATTTCGAAGACAGGGTGCAGAAGGAGTTGCGTGCGTTCGGATTCTCCGGGCCGAGATTTAGAAGAAGCTGCCAGAGGTCGTAGATCAGCCAAAGGACGGGAAATAAATTTTGTGCCGAAAAAATGTGTGTACGGGGGCAGGTGGGCTGGTGAAGGAGGAAAGTAATTATTGAGGAGCCGCTCCGTAACGCAGCGGGGGCCAGTCTCGTTTTTCACGGATAAGACAATAAAGGGGGCGGCCGGTCGTGCAGCCGAGGGGCGGCACCTGTTTGCTTAATTAAGCAGCGGTAACTCACCTGACCGAACGACCGACCAGCAACTGATTAGCACGTTTGCTTCGCGCGCGATAAAACCGCTTACAAATCAATCTCCGCACCCGCCGGCACCGAAAGGAATCAAAGAAGATCGCACGCGTCGTCTCTGCTGAACGAATTATGCAAATGTGAAAAATATCCTCCGGCCAAAACACTTATTTATCGGCAGAGATCGACGAGAGAAATCAATTAGTTAATTGAAAATTTATGTACAAAGACGCAATAAAAAAAGATGCTATTCGTAATTATTTCCAAATTAAGTTTATATATGAACTCTTTTTTATTGACTTTATAAGAAAAAGAGATGAATATTTAAACAAAATTTTCTTAGACAATTTTAACCTGCTGGTTTTCAAAAATTTGTCTTGGTTGTTGGAAAAAAATTAATTTTTTATTAATTGAAAGCACTATCTGTATAATTCCAAGATAAGTAACTTTAATTGCTATCAGTCTAAAAAATCCATAAGCAATTCATTTTCCAAATCACATAGTATTGAGAATAAATCAAGATGATTATGATTTTTTTCTATTTGTTTCAAAATTCATGACTAAAGACAATATATTGTAACTAGAGTTTTTTAGTAATTTTAAAGTACGATATTATGATTGTTTTGGAATGTGTTGCATATAGACACATATAACTAGTATATACTTTTGGCTGATATTTTGAATTGAATCTAATAAGAGATTATTTTTATTTTGGTTTTCTCTTACACATGCAGTAAAAATTGATTTGAGCGAAAAACATGAATAAAAATTTGTCAAAAAAGCAATCTGACTTTTATTGGAGTTGCGGATTCGCTTGCTCGCGGCGGCTGATTTATGAAGGGGGTGCGCGTGATTGATTTTGGTGCGCTGGTTGGCTTTGGTGCTTGGGAGCGTTCGAGGAGGAGCGCACGGCATTATTGATTGAGCAGCGAACGGCCGGGCAGACAGACACGCATTTTGATGGATTATCGACTCTTGAATTTTATTCCTCCGCTCAAATGTGTCTCTGCAGAGCAGAGAGATCAGAAGAAAGCAATAAAATGTGGATGCGCGCGCGTTCTTTGTATCTGTCAGAGGAGGTAATGGTTGGCAGCGGGCGGTCTCTCTTCTCTGATTGGATCACGTGTATTATCTCGGCCTCGTCGCGCGCCTTCGCCAGCCGTAATTTTTATTATCTCACTCTCCATACCTGCCTGCTCG